ATATGTTTATTCTCCTCCATCTTTAAAGGATAATTTTACTGGATATATTATTCATGCTGGTAATTTCTTTCTTACAGATGTTTGAATATTTGGTTCCACTCTCTTTTGGCTTGTAGAGTTTCTGCTGAGAGGTCAGTTGAAATTCTGATGGGTTTTCCTTTGTAGGTCACATTCTTCTTTTCCCTGGCTGCTTTGAGAATTTTTCTCTGTTATTAATTTTTGACATTTTTAATACCAAGTGCCTTGGACAGGGCCTCTTTGGATTGAGGTGACTAGGTGTTCTGTTTCGTTCTTGAATTCATGGATCTAGTTCTTCCCATAGGTTTGGAACATTCTCCTTCACTATTTGTTTGAATGGGCTCTTTTCCTTATTCCCTCTCTTGCTCTTCTGGAATAACTATTATTCTAATATAGCTTTTTCTGATGGAGTCAGATAGTTCTCATAGGGCGCATTCATTTTATCTATGCTGAGGTCTCTCTCTTCCCTCTGCATCATTTCTGGATTCCTATCATTGATATCACTAATTCTTTCCTCCATCTGGTTCGCTCTGTTTTCTATACTCAATAGTTTACTGTTAATCTCCTTAATTGCATGCTTCATTTCCAGATTTTCATATTGGTTCTTTTTAAAAGTTTCAGTCTCTTTTGTAAAATACTTATTTTGTTCATTGATTTGTTTTCTGAGTGCATTGAGTTGCCTGTGTATGTTTTCTCACATCTCATTGAGTATTTTCAGAACTGCAATCTTGAAATCTCTGTCATCTATATCATATATTTCCAAGCATTCCTCCCTATTTTCTGGGGATTTTTTATTTTCTTTTGGATCATTCTCACTACTGTGATTATTCATGGTATTTGCTATTCTCCTTTGCCTAGGCATTTATATTTGTACTAGAGGCCCAGTGCACAAAAATTTGTGCACTCGGGGGGAAGGAGGGTTCCTCAGCATGGCCTGTGCTCTCGCGCAGTCTGGGACCCCTCGGGAGATAACAACCTGCTGGCTTAGGCCTGCGCCTGGGTGGCAGAGGGCAGGCCCAACCCCTAGGTGCAGCCCCTGGTTGGGCTCAGAGCAGGGCCGATTGGGGAGTTGGGGCACCGCCCTCTGTCACACTCAAGGCAGGGTCGATGGGGAGGTTGCGATGGGGAGGTTGCGGCGCCACCCCCTGTCATGCACAAAGCAGGGCCAATCAGGGGGTGTGGGCGCTGCCCCCTGTCACGCTGATCCCAGTCCTGGGAGGCATATTACCCATTTACTATATAGGATAGAGGCCTGGTGCATGGGTGGGGGCCAGCTGGTTTGCCCTGAAGGCTGTCCTGGATCAGGGTGGGGGTCCCCACTGGGGTGTCTGGCCAGCCTGGATGAAGGGCTGATGGCTGTTTGCAGTTGGTCACACACCCTTCAAGGTGGGGGGACCCCCAGGGGTGCCTGGCCAGTCTGGGTGAGGGGCTGAGGGTTGTTTTCAGGCTAGCGGGTGACTGAAGCTCCCAACCACTCCTTTTTTTCTTTTTCTTATTCTGGGCCACCTTTAGCTCTGAGGCTCCAGCTCTTAGGCCTCTGCTCCAGAAAGCAGGTATCTGGTTTGTTTCGGTTCTATAATCGAAAATCTGTATCAACTCCAGCTCTGAGATCCCAGCCGCTGAAAGCTGGTTTCTGGCGTTTTGTTTAGCTTCTTATGTTACAATGTTTCTTAAACTGCAGGCTCAGAGGTCTGCAGCAGCCGGTGAGAACGTTGCAGTCCTCCATCACTGAAACAAGCAAGCCTCGTGTTCACTTTAAGCTGCCTGGCTGCCGGCTGCCATCTTGGCTGGAAGTTAATTTGCATATCTCCCTAATTAGCCAATGGGAAGGGTAGCGGTCGTACGCCAATTACCATGTTTCTCTTTTATTAGATAGGATATTAGTGACTCAAAGCAGCTTCCTCTGTAAAGGTCTTTCTACTATTTTATAGTAGATGGCCCTGAATTATAGTATGTTTTACCTCTGTGATCTCCCAATCTTTACCTTCAGTGCTCCCATAAGTACAGCCTTGATTCTTGGGTGTGCAGCTTGTTTTGCCCTCATGGTAATGGTGACCCCTGAATTCTTTGGAGTACTGCCCATGCACCCAACTTGGGGATCAGTCACAGAGGGAAACTGGTTTTCCTGCAATAGCTCTTGGTTACAGGTAATATGCTCCTCAACCAAACTCCAAGTCCAAGGGGAGTTGAGTTTTGGGAGTCCAACTAGTTGCAGGGCTCTGTGGTTATGTTTTTTTGTCTGAAACACCAGTGCCCCAACTTACAGTAGAGAGCTGCAGGGCAGAACCCTGTGCTCTATCAGGCCTCTGCTGGCTCAGTCACTGTTTGCTCAGCTCACTGCTCACCCTGCTGGACTAGTCCTTGAAGCTTTCTGTCCTCCCAGCTGAAAAAGTACCTTCTACTACTGGCTTCCTCCCCTTTCCAGTCAAAGCCTCAAGCTTCCAGCTGCAGGGTTGTGTCTGTTGACCATCTGTGCTTTCCTCTCTCTGTCTCTCCATTTGTTCATGGTTGCCCATCTGTAGATGTTTCAGTGCCAGTGCCTTTCAGGCATGCCTCTGTGTTGAGCAAGGAATTCTTTGCTGAATTGTAGTTGATGAACTTGTTGAAATTTCAGGAGAGGCCAGGGCCTCTCTCACTGCCATTCATCTGAACAATCCACTTATAACTTTATACCTCAGTTTCCTCATTTGTAAAATGATACTACCTGTCTCACAAAGTTATTTTGAGAGTGAAATGAGATCACATATATGCATATATATTTGTGTATCTGTATGTATGTATATATACACACACACTAGAGGCCCGGTGCACAGAAATTTGTGCACTCGGGGTGGAGGGGGGGTCCCTCAGCCCGGCCTGTGCCCTCTCGCAGTCTGGGACCCCATTGGGAGATAACAACCTGCTGGCTTAGGCCTGCTCCCGGGTGGCAGAGGGCAAGCCCAATTCCTAGGTGCAGCCCCTGGTCAGGCTCAGAGCAGGGCTCATTGGGGAGTTGGGACGCCACCCCTTATCATGCACAGAGCAGGGCAGATTGGGAAGTTGCGATGCCACCCTCAGTCACGCTCAGGGTAGGGTGGATTGCGGGGTTGGGGCACCGCCCCCTATCACACTCAAGGCAGGGTCG